TAGGACAGTTATTACCTCCTCCAATAGTACATGACTGAGCTTCTAGCTCTGATTGCTCCTGAGACCATTGAATCCGAGGCACTGCTGACCTTGTGCAAGGTGGGAGATCGTTTATTTCCGAGTGACGGTCCAGTAGTAGATCGCGCTGAATCGTCGCTCGCCCTGCCTGGTCTGACACTAGCTTCCCATCATGCCGAAGGAGTGGCGGGATTTTTGGTGTTTCGGGGCCGCCCACCTCATCATCTTGTAGACGTCCGAGCACGGCCGCATCGTTTCTATCCACTTCTTCCAGTGCTCTCTCTTGGCTGATGCTACTGTAGACCTCAGGATTTTGGCGTAGGTAGTCCATTCTTCCTCGGTATATGCCGAGCGATAGTTAAGATGAGCCTCTTTGCAATTTGGAGTCCACCAGGGCGCAGACCTAACGCTTCCTTGACTTCGTCTCTTTCCGAACGCTTTCAATCCGTATATTAAGGCCTGACAAATCGCTTCTGCGTATCTCTCAACATCGCTAGTCGATACCAAGGATTGCGGGGCTGAGATCCACTGAGATACTGCTTGTACGAAGTCCGGAAGCTTTTCTTTCGAGACTCGCAGTGAGCCTTGACATTCTGCCTCTGCATGACTTTTACTTGTTACGAAGCCGAAGACAGGAAAATGGTCGCTTGTCACGCACTCACTCCGCTCTACCCACGCCTGTTCCCCCGCGACATTAGTCCATACTAGATCAAGCGTATTTCCGGCTCGATTCGTAGGCTCCCCAATGATAAGACAAGTGAGGCGGTGTTGCTCAGCCCAGGCCTTTATTTTCTCGCTGTGACCATACGAGCGCGTTGTACCCGGTTGCCATACCCAGTAAACGGAGTTGAAGTCGCCTGCAATTATTGATGCTGGCGGAGGTACCCAGTTGATTACTGGTTCAATTGCTGCGTCGTTATTGTGCGCCTTGTACACATTGAGAAATGTGACATTGTTGACAACTACCCAGCAGTAGTCTCCGGTCAGCGAAGAACATGGGAAAATCTGTTTGGCAAATATTTCCTTCTCCTTCGTTCGAGTGTACGTTACGGCTCGTGGCCGAACGCCTATCCCGCCGTGCGGGATGTGCAGAGTGTATCCGGGGTGAGATTTTGTCTCGCTGGACCACCAAGGCTCCTGTACAAGCACAACATCAATGCCTCTCTCGAAAGCTCGAGAAAGCGCAATGTCGTGCGTTGGATACCCCCTACCAACATTTATTGACATAAACTTGAGCTTTGGTAGGGATGAACGAAGCCGTGAGGCACCTTTCATGCACGGGGAGTGGCATCAGTCGGCGTGACTAATGCGGGTGGTAAGGCGGACGAGCCTGGGCTACCAGCACTCCCTGATCTAGTGTTGGCGAGGCTGGCTGCTCGAGTTTTGTCAGCCGCCGCTTTTGCCCTCCTGACCGCCTCGAACTCACGGTTGCCGGCGTTCCAGATTGTGACGAGCTGCTGTTTAGTCAGCGCTCCAGCACGAGTGGGTCGGGCGAGACAGCTCCGGCTATCTGCGCGATGAGGACCTCCGCAGTTGCGACACCTATCTGCAGCAAGACATTCTCTTTCTGAATGCGTCAGTGAGCCACAGTTTCTGCAAGCTGGAGTCCGAGAGCAGCCGCCGGTACTGTGGTACCCAAAGCAACGTTTGCAGATTGCTTGTGTTTGACGCTTCGGGACTGTGGCTGCCCGTCCCGAGTCGTCAAAAAGTCGGAATCCCGTTTGGGGGGCAGATCCGCTCTCGAAAAAGGCTACCCAATTACGGTATCTGGCTCCGTACTTGCTCTTACCGTGCCACCGCACGGATTTTGGTGTCACCCCAGTGACGCGTTCTATTTCAGAACAATGTGGCTTTCCGAAATAGTCACTTGCCCATCCAGCAAGACAATGTGGACGGGTATATCGGGTAGCATGAGGCTAGCCCAGTTTCTTGCTGGCTCGAGGCTAATATCTTGCGGAAGGCTGCCCGCACAGCTCAAGAGCAGCTTTCTTGCATCCTCATCTTTGGCAATGAGAACGAAGCCAGCTGCTGTCGGCAAAATCTTGTCAATGTTTGTCGGGGAACAGCCAAACTTACTAATGACTGCTACCCGAATTCCTGCAGTCGAAAGTGACCTCGAATCGTGATTCTTGGGGATCCGAAGGTATAGACCATCCTTCTTCTTTCCTTCTGGCTCCTTCAATCCATGACCAGGCCGAGATGAAAATTTTGCAGTTGGAGGACTAGGCAGCTTTGACCGAGTTTCCTTATCCCGGGCTCCTTCTCTCCGAGTTTCTTTTCCGACAATAGCGGCCCAAGAATTAGCTTAAGAACCACTGGGAGCCGCAGTGCTGGGTCGGTGAGTTTCCGCAGGCGTGGGCTTTGCCTGGGGAAATGCTGGCACTTTAGGCAGTACTGGTGAGGCGGCCCCGGGCCCTACCTACATGAATTGGGCGATGGATGCCCGAAGATAGACTCGAAAGGAGTCAATAAAGTTTTTATGTTCTCCCGTTAGTATGGGAGAAAGGTGTTTTTCCACGACGTTGATGATCGAGGTGCAAATTGAGATATTGGCAGCTGCTTCTGCTGCCCGTCGTTTTTCATTCTCGACGAGGACGGCCATCTCTTCTGGGATAACAGAAATGTTCGATTCCTGCTCCGCATCACTCCCTCTTTCCAGGGATTCATAACGGGCGGCATTGGATGGAGCCATGGTGATTTTGTCAGTTTCTAGCAGCCTTGTGGGCAAGGCTGCTAGCTTTCTCGATGAGGTTGCTGACAACCTAGGAGTAGTTGGCGACAGGATCAATTTCTCCGTCTACTGAGTTGGCTCAGGGCTGCCTGAATTAGTTGGGGCAGCCCATATGGAGCCGGATAGGCCTTTGGTGACGAATTCGTTGACGGCCCCGTCAATCATCTCGATCTCCGGGGCATCCATCACTTTGGTGGTGATGGCAGCTTCGGCATTATCAATGTCCTTCTCATCGATGGTGATGCCGTACTCCAATAGGCGCGACCGTAGTCGGAGCTTGGCGTAATCCACCAGCGAGTGCTGGCGTTTCGTAACTCGTACCGATGGCATGGTCGCCAGCGGTGCGATGGGTCCACGGGTTTGAATCTCTCGAGGGTGGTGGGAAGAAAAATATTGATAAGGTGTTGAAGTGAGATAAGGGTGTTAGATGGCTGTGGAGGCGATTGAAATTGGCTCGTCGAATATGTGGTGGATCTGAGAGATGTCAGTGCTGTAATCGAGAGAGTAATAAAGGATTACTAATCAACACGTGGTATCATTTACACATTCCTGACCAGTATCCAATGCAGTCCATACGCTTTTACGCTGTAGCTAAACAATTTCCATGGTCAGACTTCATGGTGAGCACTAGCTGTGTAGCAAGTGATATCACGCGGGAGAGAAGTGACAAAATAGCGAAAGCCGTTAGCCAAACCTAAGCGATTTGGCCCAAATCCAGATGGAAACACCTTTTTGCAATTGGGGGACTTTTCTCAACGCCTGTCAGCGGTGTCCCCTACGAACCTCCAGCTCTCACTGTAGAGTCTGCAGAGCCGAGATTGAGGAACAAAGTCCTCACTTCGAAGAGGATTCCCAATCGCTTTCGCGGTCTGTATCGTCTTCATCTCTCAACACATTCCCCTATCACCATTATCATGAAGCTAACCACGATCAGATCAGATGGTAGGGTCGGAGCTCTACTGATCACCAAACCTTGATCACGGAGGAAAAGCCATCCGATGAGTTTCCGGAGCGTACCCAGCAATCGATACGGAGATGGCGGATTGGATCAAGTCGACCTCGAATGTTACAGAGAAGGGAGATATAGATGAATATGCGCACCTCACGTGGTCCCGGTGTCTAGGCCTCGCCTGGCTGGGGCTGCAGGTTTTTTGAGACTTTTTCCCGCGCACGCAGTTTCCATTGCTACCATTTTTATTTTTTTTGGGTAGAAGGTTCCGTGGAAAAGGTGGCTGAATTCCACGGGTAAATACTGAGCTGAATGGCTATTCATCAAGGGGAATATATCAATGATCTTTCAAGTAACAAAAGAGGATAGGAGCACTGTACAAGGTGTGGCCTGGGTCAGAGAGGTGCCCAATGTGCTAGATAGTCATAGACTCAAGTAGCACAATAAACACAAAGACACCTTTTTGCAATTGAGAGAAAAAAGCCCCATTCTAATATAACAACAATAGTAAGGAATTTATATATTAAAGTCTTGGTTATCTCACACATCGTGACCCATGAACCTCTACTTTACCTCTTTTATTCAACAACAAAGCTGAACAGTTAGTACAAACAGTCAAGGTGACACTAAGGATTGATACAATCGCGGAAGGGATTAGACTTCAATTTTAGGACAGTAGTTTTTTATTTTGAGCTCTGTGCGCTACATGACTTCCTTTGCTAGTGTAGGCGACGCTGTAAACACCGTCATGGTTGCAAGGTGTAGTGGTTTATCATTCATGCTAGTCTCTGAAGTAGATTTGATTGGCTTGGAGAACTATTCCACTTGAGATAAGAGGTCGCTGATTCAAATCCGGCATCACATGCTCACATTTCTTAGGGTTCTTGAGATCTTGTATTAAAAAGTAAGTTGAAACTTCCCTCTCGTGTGTACTAGCGGAGGATGGTCTACTCTTTGTAAAGAAATATACTTAGTAGTAGTATTTTCAAATGAACTCCAGAGTTTGAGTAAGGATGACGTCAAAGGAGCCTATAAATATGCACAGAAAACTTGAACATATATTATAATCATGTGACTGTTGACTTAACAGACAATTGAAAGTCGACTTTTCAGCTTTCGCACCAATCTAGCACTAACGATGTAATACTGTGATCATGTAATAATAGAAATCTACTCGCGACCGGGAATTGATTGTCCCATTTATGAATTCTAATTAACAATTCTATCTCATAAGTTACCGAATACCAACTATCTCTGACAGCGTGCTTCAGCCAATGTGGGAGGCAGCTAAGCCTTGTCATATTAGCGAAAATGTAAGATCATACTAGCTGGATTTTCTAAAAGTCCTCGTATGACTTCATTGGCTTTGGCTAGTGTCGCGCCGTCTATGATCCTGTGGTCTGCACTCCAGCTAAAATTACAGATATGCTTCTTCATCAATTCGCCTGAGTCTGAAAACGCTGGCACAAGACGCAACTTTCCGATCCCAAGAATGGCAAGCTCTTTTTCAACAATGATTGGGGAGACATAAGTACCACCAATGCTGCCAATATTAGACAGGGTTATCGTGCCTCCTGTTAGATCCTGACTACTCAACTTGCCCGAAACGGCTAGATCTTGAAGTCGTACTAACTCTGAAGCAATTTCCAATATGGTGAGAGTAGAAACATTCTTCACAACGGGAACAAGTAGACCAGAGGGCGTATCCATTGCAATACCGATATTGTGCTGACTTCGTAGGGTTAGAAATGGCTTATTAGTTTTGGTATCATGTTCCAACTTAGCATTAAGGATAGGGTAACGATATAATGACATAGAAACAGCCTTCATAATAAAAGGGAGAAAAGATAGCTTCCTAATCTCAATTATTGGTGCTTTTGCTAATCCTATATTAATACTTTCGCGCAGTTGGACGAGGCTAGTGAAATCAATTTCATCCGCATACAAAAAATGTGGTATTGATAGAGAGTTGGTCATTGTTTTGTACATTTTTGACTGGTAGCTGGTGAGCTGAATATTTTTATCTATCTCGCCGTCGTCTGTCGAAGTGGTTGGCGAGGATAATGATGTTGGAGAGTTTCGGTTCTTCGCAAAATTAAAAACATCGTTTCTGAGGACTCTCCCGTTTCGTCCGGTACCTAGAACATCTTCTAATTTAACGTTCAGCTCTTTTGTGAGATTCCTAACAGCGGGGGTCGCCAATGTTTCGTTGTTCCTCCCAGATTCTAGCTTGGGTCCTAACTCCTTGGGGGTTGTATGAGACTCACTCTCATGAATGTGAGGTAGTTTCTTGATGACTGGTTCCAAAGTTTCTTTCATTTCTTCTGATTCGACGTCTCCGCATTTATCCGGTACATCAATGTCCATCAATGGACGACCAACCTTGACCATTTGTCCCGGCTCATAATGAAGCTTTTTAACTACTCCTGCGAATCGACTTGTGATCTCCACGGATGCCTTATCACTAGTCACTTCACAGAGTTTGTCCCACTCCTCGATGCGAGCTTCAGGCTCAACAAACCATTGAATAATTTCACATTCGGTGATTCCTGTAGATATGATTAAAACAAGTCTATCCAGCTAAAATTAATCATTTCAGTTCACCTTCTCCAATATCAGCCATTAGGAAAGGCTTTATGATAGGTGCTCGGGAACTTTCATGAAAAAAGCGTAAAGTGGTCGTAGTTGTAGTCTTCGAACGACAGAGAAGTTGAAAGGCTGGCCATGGTCGTGTAAGAAAAGAAAGTCTCCGACTTAACTGAATCATTATAATTTATTTCCATCTGGTTATATAGGATTTGGTGCTTCTACTTGTGTCCATCATTAAGATCATCCTAATTCTTCATTACTTGAGCTGGAACGCATGCCGACACAAAGCGCGACAGGGATACTCGGAGCTCGGCCACCGCTTCCTTGAATCCCGATGCCCAAGGTCCTGATACTAGTAGTTTACAGACTCGAGCGGCACAAAATGATCGTATCACGACTATCTTTCGGCTTACTTAAAAAGTCAAATTATTCGGTAGATTTCAAGCCACTGTACTGGCGATCTTTTGCAACTTCCTGTGACCGGCTCAGTGACGCTCGTGCGAAGGCTGAGCCATCAGAAACACACGAGAAAATACCACATTCAGCAGTGCTGCAAGAAGCTCCGAAAGCCTACGGCAAAGATGTCTCTGAATTCACGCCTAGGCCTCTCGATCGCCCAATCGGTCTCTGCTCCCCACCGCAGGCCGGAGAGAATTCTGGTATAGATACACGCACCTGGAAACAGCGGCGAGATGACTTCGTAGACTACGATAAGCACATTTTACGACGAAGGCAGCTGTAAGAATCTTTATCCCGAGCAACAGAAAAGTACTAAGGACCGCTTCTTGCATTTAGAACGGCCAAAATGGCGACCCCATATTTTCGGGAGTGGAAGAATATGCGCTTCGCCAAAGGGAAATCTTTCCTCGCGCCTCCGCGACTATTTAAAGCCGACAAGGCACTGTATTTTCCTAATCTATGCGGTAGAACCTTACTCAGGGATGGGAAGTTGCGCGATACAACGCCCATACTTCAAAACAAAATTTCAATCCTTAGTGTTTACAGTAGCGCGTGGGGCGAGAACCAAGCAGCATCTTTCATCTCAAAAGAAAAAAATCCTCAACTGCACGAAATAGTCAGTAAAAGCGGGGATATAGCGCAAATCGTGCAAGTCAATTTCGAGGACAATGCACTCAAGGCTCTATTAATCAGGCTTTTTTTAGGATCTCAAAGGAAGAAGCTCAAACAGGAGAACTGGGGAAAGTATTTCATTGTGCAAAAGGGGCTGTCTATAGAGTTGAGAGACATGATTGGTTTGTTGAATAAAAAAGTCGGTTACACCTATCTACTAGATAGAGAATGTAAAATAAGGTGGGCTGGAAGTGGATTTTGTGAAGATAGTGAAAGGGAAGGCCTCGTTAAAGGGGTAAAGAAGCTCATCGATGATTCGAACATCCCGAAAAACACTGTAAATAAAATGTCGGAATCTGATAGTTAAGTGTAAGTTTTGACTACGAATCGCTGAAAATCAATCGTTGCAAGCAACTACTCATGAGCGTATAAAATTCACCTGAATTAATGCTTTAATTTCTTACCTGAACGCCTTGCTGAAACCGTCAACAGCCCTGTTTTATCTGAGGTAAAAGAAAAATACAAAACACAAAGCGATAAAGACTGCCATGATGAGTCCATCCTTTCTTTTTTTGGCAGATATTTTCCCGATTAAATTATTTAAACCAGGAACTAGTGCAGCTGTGCTGGTAATCCGACGGTTAATGCTAGCGAGTGTCTCTCTTTGCAAGACAAATCCTTCGTTAACTGCGTAGGCTTGGCTTAAGACACTATCAACCATGTTATGACTATTATCAATTCGTCTTCTTTCTCCCAGCATATAATCTGCCTCACCGGACTCTGGGTCATTTGCACGATGTGCGTTTATGTCGGATCTGACGCTTGACAAGAGGTTCGCTCTATCTCGCGCTGCCTCAATTTGTGATTTCAAACCGGTCATTTCTTTTCGATGCTCAAGTAGAATTTCGCGATGACGCATGAGATTGTTTTGCTTAAGAGAGGAAGCCGTGAGCGCTGCCTCAGAATCCAGAAGACGTGTTAGTTGGCCAATTAGAGCCTCGCGCTACCTAGGTTAGTCTACAATGGTGCCAAGTGGAGAGAAAACAATGTACTCTATCCAGTATTTCGTACAGTTTATTTTCTGTTTCTTTTTCATCTTCGGATGGTTTAGGAGGTAAATTCCCCGTTGCGGCAAGTTGAGAATATGTGTGGAATATTGTCTCGGTCTAGATCAATCAGCGGTGATTTTTTTTCTCACGTTTAACTACCCCCTACTTGTACTTCTAGAGACCGCGCCTGCTGTCGTAGCTTAGCCCAGCTACTAGTCGTCGATGACATTGTCCAACTATTAAACGTACATACTTGGCGCCGAGTTGCAACATGCATGCCTCACAGACGAGGGTCTCGCTTACCAATTTGGCTTTTGCCGCGCTCGACCGCAAGTTCGCTTAACCAGGCGGCACACTTTAACATTGTACTAAGTCTTCACAGCTGCGCAAATTGCCATCATTATTTAGTCGACAAACGCCATCACAATGGTAAGAGTCTCGATATAATGATCGATTTTGACTGAAAAATATGAGCAACATCGCTAATGTATTCTCAAATAGTCCAACTCTAAGGTCAAGATCGGCCAGCTATGGCCCAAGAACAAGACGGATCTCATGAAGCAATTGGGTGAACTTAAGACTGAGCTCGGTCAACTACGCACACAGAAGATTGCAGGAGGTGCCGCATCTAAACTCACAAAAATGTGCGTGAGAAAAGTTCGCGACCAGTGAACCCTACCTCAATTACGCCAGAACATTTCTCCTAAATACTTGTAAGATTTTGTAACTGACAAAATTATTTCAGCCACGACGTCAGAAAATCTATCGCCAAGGTCCTCACAGTCATTAACGCAAACCAACGCACTCAACTACGGATTTTCTATAAGCACAAGAAGTACCTACCACTCGATCTTCGACCAAAGCAGACTCGTGCAATAAGGAGACGTTTGAGCAAGGGAGATAAAGCGAGAAAACTACCCAAGATCACCAAGCGAGAAGTACACTTCCCGCAAAGAAAGTTCGTGATAAAAGTACGTTCCTTTAATAGAGCTCATCAGATAATCATTTATTCGACTCGCAAAACAATTACCTAAAACAAAGAGTAAAACTAACAGTCTCTACAGGCGGAAGCATAATTAAATAAAGTGAAAAATAATCTTGGCATGGAAGCTAATGATACCGAATCGCTCAGCTCCTATAATGATATCCTAAGATCAAACGGGGCATAGCTGTGACTGGTTTGGCTCTACATTTCTTTTAAAGGAGGCACTGAATTGGCGAGAAGCTAACATCATTTGACCACAGTCGGACCAGGTAAAACCAAAATCCTGAGATAACTATTACAATGATAAAAACCAATGTAACCAAACTTGAATCAACCTACAATATGTGATATGAAATTATAGTATTCTTTATCTGCCGTAGTCTTCTCAGCCATAATGAAACAAAAATTAACAACTGTTATAAGATTATGTAACCACGGCTTGACCACCGATGAAACCGCGTAAGTATCATATAATTACTGAAAATACACAAAGGTTATGATGTGTCAATTGAATTTGTTTATTTGCTGTACCATGGAAGTGCACGATGGTTGTGCTTACAGCCATAAGCAAGTTCATGGGACATATTTATATATATATATATTTTTTTTTGCATCAGATTTTAATTGCGTATGCAGCTTTCTAGCTATGACACACCATCAAAGAAGTGTTTAATAGATGACTCAATTTACAGGAAGAGCACTCATGCCTCGGATTTCATTTGCCAAGTACCACTGCCAAGTTATGGTGGCATTTTCTTCACCTCAAGTCAACTCTCATCCATCCAGACCCACCCAGGGGAACGTCTCAAAAACCCTGAATTATCCAAACATGCCTCCGTCATCTTTCAACTTTTCTCCGCGCGAAATATGGTCTTAGCCGTCTCCTTCCCAAGTGGAGTAGGTGCCCAGGCTACTCAGACTATACCGGAGAACACCACCAGGAGACGGACCACAACACCTTCCATCGTCGGCTTTTTCTTTAAATCATTTAATGTGTATTAGCTATAGAGCTATGACACATGACCGGTGCTATCTATACATTTGGGATGACTCTTTTGACGTTAGAGGCACTCATACTCTGGATTTCATTTGCAAATACCACTATGAGGTATGCTCGCTTACACAAACTATCGACCCTCCTCCGTAAGTATCCACCAAAGGGAATTTCAAAACGTTAGGTTATCCAAGCATGCCTTCGTCATCCACTCATACCAGCGCCGCGAGATATGTGGTTGTATTTTGCTGAATTTCAACCAGCGATCTACTGTCTCGAGTGGGATGTGTCCAAAACAATGTAACACCGCACCATCCAATCATGGCTATTGTTTGTCATTACACAGGTTACTCTTTAATGACTTAGTAGTTTTTATTAAGGAAATAATGACCTCTCAGTCATTGAGGTTATAGAGCGCGTTGGTTCAAGTAACTACCGAAGTGAAACTAAGTACAGAATTTTTAGTCACGTGTGTATCGACAACGTGGCCTACTCGATAGCCCCAAATATTCTAAATTCTAACAGTTTTAGTATTACGTGTGGAAGTAACATTATGATAAGGTCTTTGCACAATTTAAGTGTACGAGGCTGTATATTCAGCCTCGTGTAAGTTTATCATAGATGTATCACTATTGTAGTTTAAACAAGAACATCTTTATCCCAACGTACATTGTTATCTGATCAGATACCGAGGCACAGCCTATCCAACAATGGCAGTGCCTATAGTGTCAATTGCAATCTCGCAACCGAAGACTTGGCAGACACAATGCTCAATTCGTAAAACTCTTGCCAAAATTCGGAATTTCACGCCCTTCGAGGTAATATCCTTCCTTTGCATCATCTTGTAAACTTGTCCTGATCCCTCTCACGTCCATCCCAAAGAGCTATCTCCAAGATTTGTGCGCCACGCTTTGTGTCCTCCGTCGGCTATAAATATCGGCGTGGGCGTGTATTTGATGACCAGTTGAGGCCAGAGAAAGTCGACGAGAGGCGTGGTCATTGGAATGAAGATGTGCTTGGTCGTGTCAAGGGATAGAGTGAATTGAGGGAAGTTACTGTCACGTAATATAAAGCGTCTGATACGCGATTCACGATGTATATAATTTTACAGGATCCACCGGAAAAAGGGGAAACCCCTCTGAGCCAAGCCTCCGGGTAGACAGCGTCGAGATCAGGCCTAACGACCAAACTCGTTGGCTGGGAGTCCACTTTGATCGCCGCATGAAATTTCGCCACCATATTAAGCAAGCTTGCGGTAGAGTTACGACCGTCACAGCGCACATAAAAAGCCTCTGCAATACCGCTCGAGGTATCCGACCAGCTCTAGCCAGACAGGCTTTACAAGGGGCAGCTTTACAACCCTTTTCTACGGAGCTGAAACCTGGTTCTCAGCAAATACCTGCAAAGAAGATATTGCCCGTATTCAACGCAGGATAAACGATGCAGCCCGTGCAGCACTGCCAGTATACAAAACCACTCCAGTGGCCACCCTTCTGCGGGAAACTGGATGGTCATCAGCTCAGGGGTGGCTCGAACGTATCCACAACCGGCTTGCAGTGCGAGTTGCCTCGTCAGATCCCCAACATCCCTTGCGACTGCGCTGGAAATCTACGAGAATGGCTTGGATTCGGCGCAGAATTTCCCTAGAACTATCATTGAACACGACTTCACCTCCCTGGACACCAAAAAGAGACGAAATACTCGCAGCAATTGGAGCAGTTGGTCGTGAAGCAGGGCTCCAAGTCTTCACCCAATGGCATCTCTCAGCACCGCCCCTGGACCTCTTCGTTTTCTCAGACGGAGCTCTGATGGAAGGCTCAGCAGAGGCAGGGTACTGCATTTATCGCGGCGCAAAACATGTGATTGATCAAGGCTCTGTTCCTCTGGGTCAATCAGCAGAAGTATATGATGCAGAAGTCGTCGGGGCCATGGAAGGCCTCGCAGCTGCAATTAGAAACCCAATGGCATACTACGCCACCAATATCACTGTCTGTCTCGACAACCAAGAGGCAGCGTCTCGCTTACTCCTTGGACCGCCGACCCCATCCAGCTCGACTCGGATCGCAAAATTTCGGGATCTCGCAAGATCCTGGCCTTCAAGGAACCGTGCTAGAAACACTGAGCCAGGAAGGATCTCTGTACGCTGGTGCCCAGCGCATTCAGGAATCCCTGGAAATGTAAATGCAGATGCTCTCGCCAAAGCGGCCTGTACTATAACCGCCCCAAACCTGGCCCCTTCCATTGTCAGAGCAAGGAGAATTGTCATTCTTCGCTACGAGGCCTCTGCGTCGGAATACTGGTCGCGAAATGCCCCTGACTGGTATAGAGCGCTCAGAATCGGGCCAAGCTCCCGCATCACCCCAGAGCTCGCTAGTATGGATCGTCGGTCCCTCGGCCTTCTTCTCGCTGCGCGGTCGGGCCATGGTGATTTTGCAGCATACCACCGTCGTTTCGCACACAACAGCGCACCTTTAACATGCTCCTGTGGACACGATAAATCGCCGGAGCATTTCATGACCTATCAACATGGCCTACTACAGGCGCGGCTTCGTGGAGCCAATCGCCCCCGTCCCCCAGACGCTCGCTGGATTTTAATCTCACCAGAAGGAGCTATCTTGTTCCGAGACTGGCTTAAGTCCACTCTATTTTTTTCGAAGGGTTTCAAAGGTACCATTAATGGGGGAAGCTCTGTTTGCACCTACATTTGTAGGACAGCCCTGATTACTTAGACATCAACGCTATCTAAATACGAATATCCACATGTAGTTTATGTTCCGCTTTTAATTGTATAATTTATATCAATTTAAGGAGAGTCTCACTGATCTGGCGTCTATGCGGACCGGGAGCAGTGGGGTCTTTATCGGGTTTTTGTTATGGGAATGCCGGTGCGTCGGGTGGCCCTTTATAGGCTGAGCTAACCGGCATGGGGCTTTAAAGCACTGTGCTGTGCGCAGGCACGACGTTAATATAAATAAATAAATAAATAAATAAATAAATAAATAAATAAATAAATAAATAAATAAATAAATAAATAAATAAATAAATAAATAAATAAATAAATAAATAAATAAATAAATAAATAAATAAATAAATAAATAAATAAATAAATAAATAAATAAATAAATAAATAAATAAATAAATAAATAAATAAATAAATAAATAAATAAATAAATAAATAAATAAATAAATAAATAAATAAATAAATAAATAAATAAATAAATAAATAAATAAATAAATAAATAAATAAATAAATAAATAAATAAATAAATAAATAAATAAATAAATAAATAAATAAATAAATAAATAAATAAATAAATAAATAAATAAATAAATAAATAAATAAATAAATAAATAAATAAATAAATAAATAAATAAATAAATAAATAAATAAATAAATAAATAAATAAATAAATAAATAAATAAATAAATAAATAAATAAATAAATAAATAAATAAATAAATAAATAAATAAATAAATAAATAAATAAATAAATAAATAAATAGCCGGCAAAATTCCCGAAAGAGTGATAAAGCCACTTCGAAGTATCCAAAGAAGGTGCCTGAAGATCGTCACGGGAGCGTACAACTCGACCAGCAATAAGGTACTTGAGCATGAGACCTCTACCTTGCCGATGGAAATATACCTAAAACAGAGGAGGGTCCAACACGCCGGACTATCAAAAAGCCTACCTGTTCAAGGTACGATATTGTCAGCATGCAGGAAGATAAAGCAACCCCGAGCTGGAAGGCAAGACGCACGAGCTGTCACGAGGACCTTGGATATTGCGGAGTGGGGTCAAACATGTGAGAATATAGAGACGAAAGTAGGACAGAAAGCGGCTGGGAAGGTTGCAGCTTTCAAAGAATGGGAACGATCCTGGACGAGGCTAACAGCCAGGCAAACTACTAACCACAACGCCACAGCAGATCCCAAAATCTGGAACGCAGTAAACCTTTTTACAGATGAAAAAACGGGAAAGACAAGAATGAGCCAAAGAGGAACACCTTCTAGTATCCATAAACACCTTAACAGGGCCCAGAGCAGCATAGCTATAC